GTTAACGATAAGAGATTGCCAACTCCTGTCCACGGTGATCGGACCATTGTGCAGTCCTCTCCCGGTTGTATCCGAGCTCTCCTCACCAGGCAAAACCAGATACCTTGACATTGTCAGTTTCAATTTTCTAAAATTTTAAAGTAGGTATGTGGATCGTTTATAAATTTCTAAAGTAGCAGTCACCACTTTGTAGCGTATAAAATGGCGTCACATGCCGTGTCTATTTACTCCCTCGCTTGTTCACGTTCTGTCTCCATAGCCAGCGTTTGCGCTCCAGGCAGGCGGGCGCCTGTGTCAGCACGCACCTGTTCCTGATGAGGGATGGAGGCAGCGCGCAGGGTCGGGTAGCTCTGGGTTGGAATCTGAAGCTCAGGGTTTTGACTTTGGTGCTGCACTGATTCTCAGAGAAGCTTCTGTGCCGGGTTGGGGAAGAGTTTTGTAGTTGGAGCCGAGAAAGGACAGGCAGAACCAGACTGCAGCATGCAGGTGTGCCGGGACCGTCGGGTTCCATGTGCTGGGGGTGGGGGGCGCTCTCGATGTAGTCACAGCAGTGTGGAAGCTGCTGCCTGCCGCTTACTGTGTGCCAGGTGTGCTGAGATAGTTACCTGGGTTAACCCATTTACTCTTCTTGACAGTCCTACACGGCAATGATAGACTCGGCACTGTCATCATCCCTGTTTTACAGACAAGGAAACCAAAGCAGAAAAAGATTAAGTGATTCACCCAGTGCCAGTCAAGGAGGAAGCGTCCAGGCAGTGCAGGCTCTAAGGTCTGGGCCCTCAATCACTGCACTGCACTGCCAGGTGGGAGGGGCGTGGTTACTAACAGGGACCAAGGGAAGCCGCTGTAACAAATAACCCCCGAAATAGAGGGACTTAATCCAGACGTAAATGAGAGTGTCTCTCAGGGTGAAGCCCAAGGCCGATAGGGTGCACCTGTCCTTTCCACAAGGCTCAGGTCTGGGTTCCAGCTCTCGCCCTCCTGCAGCCAGCAGAAGAGGGGAAGGGACCGGGGCCTCCTGCACACTGAGGGGAAGACCAGAAGCACGCCCATCCAGTGCCAGCTCTGTCATATGGCTGCAAGGGAGAAGGGAACCAGGTGGCACGCGAGCTGCTGACCCTCTAGGGCTCCGCTGTGGAAGCTAAGGCTGGACGTTGGTGAGAGTCGAGCACCTGCCAAGCTGGAACTCTCTTCGGCGGGCCTGGAATCCCGGGCTGCAGGCAATGAGGAAGTGGCCCGTGGCCTCTAAGTGGGAACCTTGCACATCTAGAGTTGGGTTTTGGGTCAATTCAGAAGCTTGTTAGGGGGATAAAGGGAAGCGGGGCGTAGGAATAGGGTGGTCTGTCAAATTCAGGTGACTGTTGCTTGGTTTTGCTGCCTCTGGAGTCATTGCTGCAGGTGTGAGTTCTCAGGTGGCCCGGAGGGAAACTTTGCAGGCAGATGAGTGTGCTGGGAACAGAATCGGAGCAATCGGCCTTACTGACTTGTTCGGCACCTTTTGTCCAGCGCTGTGTCTGGGCTCAGGGCTCTTGCGGCGCCCCCCTGGCTCTGATGAGTGCTGGGGCCACGTCCGGCTCCTGGTTTCGTGGTGACAGTGCAGTGTCTTTCAAACGCCTCCCTGACACTGACCTATCTTGTTTGTTTCTCTCGGCCTCAGGACCCCCGGAGCAAACACAAGTTTAAGATCCACACCTACTCCAGCCCCACATTTTGTGACCACTGTGGGTCACTGCTGTACGGACTTATCCACCAGGGGATGAAATGCGACAGTAAGTACCTGCCTCAGCCTCTTCCCGGAAGGGAGGTGCTTCTTCCTCTGGCTTGGGGTCCGGCTGCCCAGTCCCCGGGGGCGCTGGGGCCCCAGTTACTTATCACTGGGTAAGGACCTTTCCTCCCCACGACATAGCAACCCCAAATAATAACCATTTACCTAACTCAGGGCCCCGCGAGGCTGTCCTTTGGGTCTGGGTTGGGCTCAGCTGATGGCAGCTGGGCGTCCTCATGCATATGTGGTGGGTTAGTGGCCTGGGCCGGGTTCCCTCCCGGGTTTCTAGATGATGGCCAGTTGTCTCTGGGTGTCGCTGGGCCAGCTCACACGGAGGCCACAGGTTCTGAGTGCTCCTGGAGGAAAGCCTCATTGCAAGCACACTTCCGGTGTGTTGGCTCAGGTTCTGTGGGTCACAGTGAAGCGCAATGAAGCCAGGCAGGAGGGAGCTGTGCACGGTGGGTACAGACCGCCACGTGCAGCAGGGGGTGGGGAGACTGTTCCTGCTTCGACGTGGACATGTGGGCTGCTGAATTCTTCTGGTAGAGAAGACCTGCCTCCCGGTAGTGCCCAGGCTTATGCCAGGAGAGGGAGGAGAACCTGATTCTAGGGGTGAAGAGAAGGCGGGCAGAGGTCTGTCAAGCGAAGGTCCCAGCCTCCTCTGGGGCAGAGGTGCAGAGAGGCTCCACCTGCCGGTGGAGCAGCCGTGGGCCGTGCCCTGTAGGTGGGGAGACAGAGACAGACACACAGAGACCAGACCCAAGTGCGGGGAGGGACAGAGCTGTCCTGGACGTGGCAAAGGCAGAGAGGCGCTGGGGCGCAGAGTCAAGCCGGAGTCACCACGTGACAAAGGCGTGGAGGGAGGGACAGAGCGGCCTGGGATGGGGAGCAGGGCCCCCAGCTCTGCCCAGGTACCCCATGAGCCTGGTGCTTTCTGCCTGCAGGACTTGGATCCCTTTCACCCCTCGGTGTGTGGGGCCTCAAAGGCAGGCGGAGTGGAGAGGGCTCGGCCGGCCCTCTGGTGGGGTCTGCACTTCCTTTCCGGCTCTCCCTCCCTCCATGCAGCTTCGTTCCCATTGAGCCGCCAGAGAGCTGGACTGGGGAGGGCTGAGAAGGTCTTCTTACCGTTTCCTCCCGGGCTCCCTCAGGTCTCTTGAGATGCAGGCCCAAGGCCCAGCCGCTCCTCCTGGCTTCTCCAACTGGACCGAGCATTCCCCTAAAGAGTGCTGAATTCCAGGCCCAGCTTCCTGTAGCTGCCATCGCTGCACAGACTTACAGGAAGTCTGCCACACACTACGGAGCACGGGGCGGGGGATTTAGGGACCGTTTGATGCAGGAGACAGTGTAGGCCCAGACTGAGTTTCCAGGTGTGCTTCTTTCCTCTCACTTTGGTCTACGTTTACTCTTATGGTTAGCTGCGGTGGACACGGTGGTCTGCCCAGACCGCCTTGCAAGTTCTTCCCTGTCCCCAGCTGCTGTGAGCTCACAGTGGCGCCCCCTTCTGGGGAGTTGCCAGATCGGCCTGGGTGATGGGGTGAGTGGGAGCTCACCTCATAAACAGTTCTGGTTCATTCATTTGCCAGCAAACCCAGTCTTTTCCCTGTCAGTATTTAAAAGTAGGAACATGCCACACACGTATCCCAGTTCCTCTTAAAATTAAGTCTAATTAACTGAAAGATGTACACCCGGACCCCTCGGGGCAGGCGTTAGCCCCAGGCTCCCTGGGGCAGCTGTGCTGTGCTCTTAGCCACACCGTCTCCCCGTACTGAGCTGCGGAGGTACAGAAGATGGGCAGGTCCAGTCCCCTTTGTCCATCGGGGATGGGGACGCCTGGCGAGCCCTTCTGAAATGACCCGTGGGACGGGACGGTGAGGGCCCAGCCAGCATGGGCAGCGACCCTGAGCCCCACCCTCTGCCCCTGCAGCCTGCATGATGAACGTGCACAAGCGCTGCGTGATGAACGTCCCCAGCCTCTGCGGCACTGACCACACGGAGCGCCGCGGCCGCATCTACATCCAGGCGCACATCGACGGGGAAGTCCTCATCGTCGTCGGTAGGTGGCCAGCCGCGGGGGCTCCTGAGCCTGACTGACCCGGGCACCGGAGGAGGGCGGGTGATGCGGCATGTGATGGCCCTGCCGCGGGCACTCTGGAGAAACGTGTACCCGCGAAGCTGAGTTCTCGGGGAGAGGCGAACTGAGCCCCAGACTCCTGGCTGCCTTTCAAAGTCACTTTTGACACGTAGTTACTCTACACGCTTGTGGGGCACAGGGTCACGTTTTGACGCGTGTGCAGTGTGTGGTGACCAACGAAGGTAATTCGCGTGTAATCCCTTGCCTCGAACATGGATCATTTCTTTGTGTTGGGAGCCCTCGGGGGACTCCTGTCAGGCCCCTCCACTGCCTTCCCACTCTGTTTCCTGTTCTCTTGCCGCTCGATTCTTTTTCCTGTATTCAGTGAGCAGAGAGGAGATCCTGGTTCTCCCTGAAACGGTTCCAGGGGGACGAAGGACTCAGTGCTCAGCACTAGGTCTGGGAGAGTTCAGAGTCTCAGGGAGAAGAGGGAGGCCAGGGGCAACCCCAGCTGTGCCTTGGGCTTTGAAGTTATTTGAAATACTTTTCCTTAACCTGACAGTAGCGACACTGGTTGCTGTTCCCTTACGCTGTACACTTTTTCCAGTCTGAAAGCGGAGAGGTGCAGGGAGACGAGAGGCAGCAAAGACGGTGGTGACTTGCTCAGGTAGTGCGGGCTGGGCGAGACTGGAATGCCGCTGTCCAGCTGCATCAGGCTGGACACGAACAGCACTAAAACTGTGAAGGAATTCCTTTGCACAGCCTCGGGACACAAACTGCCTTAGACTTCCTGTAACGGGCTCCTACAAACAAGGTTTTCAGACTGGGCCGTGAAGGGTAGTGGTCCTGCAATAACAGGTCTGCTTCTGAGGCCGCAGCTCGGTGCAGCAGCTGTGATGTGCTCAGCCCTGGCTTGGGAGGAGCTGTGTCTAAAAGTTGAAACTGTATCCCTGTAAAATAGAATTTCTCAGTGTGTAAGCTCAGTGAGCCATTAGAAAAGATACATCCTGCCACATTATTTATTTTCCCTCAAGAGGGAGGCTGCCTGCTTCTCAGTGGGATGTTTGGGGTTTCCCCAGGGCAGCATTGGCAGTCCCAGTTTCAAGGGAAGCAGTTTTCCCTTCGGAGGATTAGGCACGTGTATGAGCACAGATGAGATTCTGCTACCATCTAGTGTCGCTCTTTGGAACTACACTCGAAGTGTGTACTACATACGTGGTACCCTGGGGCTCAGGGTTCAGAAATCTCGCCTGTTACCTCTCTCCTTCAATTCTTCTCGCAGCGCTACAAGACAGCTCTTCCGTTCATTTTTGCAAACGAAGTAGCTGAGGTACAGAGAAGTATATTTCTAAGAACTAGTCTTCCATTATTAATAAAGCAATCGCTAAGGTTTAATAACATTTTGAATGTGTGAACCACTTGATGTGTCAAAGACTTAAAGGCAGTATCCTGTGTAAATCTTTTGGCGACTCTGAGGAGGTGAATGTCCTTGTCATTCTGCCCATCAGGGAACTGGTCTGGAGGGTCACACATGTCCTCAGGTAGTATTTTTGACGCATCCGTTTTGTGTGATGTACTCAGTCCTCCCCCTTCTCCCTCCTCTCCCCTCCCCTCCCCCTTCCTCATCTTTTCTCTCCTCCCCCCCTTCATTTTGCTCCTCCCCTCCCTTCCCCATTATTTGTTTATTCCCTTTACGGTTCAGTTGGAGTAGCTGTTTTGGACCTTCTTCGAGGAGTCTTTGTCCTCATGAGAGCTCACCCTGTCAAGTTCAAGGCCAGCTTTCCCCCTGTACTCATAGCTATGCCCCGGCCTTTGAGCGTTTTTGTTCTCGGGCAATCCCAGGACACTGATGAATAGGAGCCACATTCATCTTCTAGTGCCACAAACTAAGTAACTTAACACCAGACACTCATCATCCCAATGCTGTGGGGACCGCAGGCCTGGGGTCGAGATGTTAGCAGGGTTGGTTCCTTCTGAGGCTCTGGGAGGCCTGTTCCACACTTCGGTTGGTGGCTGGCTGGTGGTCTTTGGTCTCCCTTAGCCTATGGTTTTGTTGCTCCACTTTCTGCCTCCACCCTCATATGTGATCTCTGTTGGGTGCTCTGTGCCCAGATTTCTTCTTCTATGAGGACACCAGCTATTGGGTAGGTCTCCCCTGGCCCCGTCTTAACTCCATTACCTCTGCAGAAACCCTGGGACCAGGGACGGTCACCTTCATGGGGACTGGGACAGGAGAACATCTCTCAAGGGCTACACAGTTCAGCCATGATGGAAGGCAGGAATCTTGGAATTTCTGCATGAAGCACTGATCATACAGCTCCCAGTGACTCAGGAGTCCTCTGGGGCTGGCTGAGTGTGTCATGCTGGGTTGCCTGACGGGGGTAGTGTTGTTGCCATCAGAAGGAAGGGGAGACTGAGACTCAGCAAAGCCCAACACCTCGATCAGGGTCCAGGCATGGCCTGGACCGTGGCCTGCCCTCCGCAGCAAGAATCCCGATGCTTTGGCTATTTCTAAACAGAGACAAGTTGGGGTTAAGAACGGGTTTTGCTCGGATGACTTACTAGGCTGCTCGTGGAGGGAAGGGGAGTGTGACAGGGCATGTAGGTGGCTCATGGGAGTATGGGCTCCATCAGGGTTGCGTGATCCTGGCCCCGATGGGGAGCTCTGGACCAGACCTTGCAGCGCTGACAACATCCCACCTGGAGGAAGGGTGCCAGGCTGTCATGCGCTGGGTTGGGCCACGCTGGGGGAGAATGGAGCCCCCCATGTAGGCCGGAGCTGTAACCCCCAGTGTCATGACATTTGGAGACAGAGCCTTTGGGAGGTAGTTGGGATTAGTTGAGGCATGAAAGCAGGGACCTCATGATGAGGAAGAGTTAGCTGTGGTGGCACATACCTGTAATCACACTCTGGGGGGCTGAGGCAGGAGGGCCTCAAGTTTAAGCCCAGCCTGTGCATCTTAGTGACTTAGCAAGACTGTGTCTCAAAGTAAAAACTATAAGAGGGGCTAGGGATGTAGCTCAGTAGGAAGGCCCTGGGATCAATCCCCATACTGAATAAAAAGGGGGCACAGGGAAAGATCACTGTCTCACCATCACATGAGGGCATGGCAGGAAGGTGGCCAAGCTACAAGCCGGCCCTTCCCAGGATCTGAATCTGCCTGCACCTTGGCCTTGTGTTTCCCCGTGTCTGTAACTGTGACAAACACATTGTTGTTCAAGCCATTCAATCCATGGCATTTTGCTATAGCAGACTGACTAAAACAGTCTTTGCCTTATGTTGCTGGTGTTGGAGGTGGAAAGGAACCGGAGCTTCCCAGTTCTGGTTGCTTCTGCTCAGTGGAAGGCATTGACCTGGACACGGGGCAGGTGTGAGTCACTGACAGCCAGGACTCACAGAAGCCAGGGGACGCATGTGCCAAATACGGAGGGGGCCTGGGCAGGGTCCAAGAGCATCCATGACCCGGGGATCCTCCGATCCCCCACATTTCCTGGTTTTATTGTTAGGACTCTAGCCATGCTCCTTGATCCAGGCCTACAGATCATGGAGGAGGGAGAGTCCAAGGTTGCCTGGGAGCCTTCTCAGTGGTTCCATGCAGAAGTGGCTTGTGGGTGCCATTGAATCATTTCCCTTCACCCAGGCCCCACAAGCATGTGCAGGCTTAGCATCCGTCCCTTACTCCCAGCTCAGGCACTGCCGTTAGACCTGAAAAGCACAAGCCCCTTGGAGACCCCGACACCTCCGGAGGTGGAAGGTTTGTTTCCCTTGGCTACTGAAATCCCGGGTGTGTATCTGCTGTCTGGGCTTTCACGCGTCACTGCCAGAACGGAAATCCGATCGGTTCTTTTGAACACCCACCCGGGGTTTCCCCGTACCTGTGGACAGCCCAGATCTAACACGATGCTTCCTTCTCTATCCCCAGCCATCTCTGGCACCCTCTCCAGACTGCACCCATCTGCGTATTCTCTTTCCTGTCTTAGAATAGTTTTTGCCATCTTCTTTCTCAGCATTCAACTCTTCTTCTAGATCTGTCTGTGCAAACTCCTGAGCATCCTGTCACCGGTGCTCTTGATGTCTCGAGCTTCTGTCAGGGACAGTTTGTATTGAGTTTGATCTGTGTCTGCATTTCTCACCAAGCAGTCGCTCCACGAGCTTTTGGTTCATACCTTTATCTCTAGCCTTGGGATGATGGGAGTCACATCAGCGAATGAGACTGCCCTGGAGGGTCTGGGTAGACATCATGTCATCTCGGATGGCCCCAGAAGAGTCTCCTGAAGTCAGAAGCTGAAGATCCAGAGATAATCTGACTCACACCATTGTTTATAGAGGATGCACAGTGCAGAAATCCTTGGTGGTGGGTCCAAGGCCAACAGCAAGTAATAATGGGACAGGGACCCACTGTTTGGGGTCATGGCTGCCTTGTTCCCCAGGGAACATAGAGAAGACCCAGGCCAGTGTAACCGGAGTTGTAAAACCATAGAGAGCCACACTGCCCTCACGAGGCCCAGTGGTGCCACAGGAGCAGTCAGGCCAGTGTCAAGAAACCAGATCAGAGTTGTAAAATGCTCATGAAATTTATGAAGCCTGTGTTCCTACCTGTGTGACAGTCATACTTTTTACTGCTGTTAATATGGTATTGAATTTTTAGTCATATCCATCTTTGCATTCATGATTATCTCTTCCCAAAGTTGGGGCTGTTCTTCAAGAGAGCAAGAGGAGAAACCTTTTTTGATGTGTCTCTTCGGGATTCCCAATCAGCCTTCTTACCTTTTCAGTGTATTTATTATACTGCATAGAACCTTCTTGGATCAAAACATCTCAGGCAGACTCAGGCACTTTCTCAATTGTGGTATTTAAGACCATCCCTGGGCCTGGCATCCACACATCAAGAGAAGATGACACCAAAGAGCCAGACCAGCTTCGTGTCTCATGGAACCACAGACTTGGTGCGGGATGGGTTTCAGAATGGAGCTCAGGCTGT